ACATTTCTTCCTGTTAATGAATATTTAAGAAATTAAAGACATTGTTTTTTTTTTTTAATTTTAATTTTAATCTTATTCATTAGAAAGCTTTTTTTTGTTTTTTTTTTTTACTCAACTTCATTTATTTATTTTAAGCATTTTGCAACTTTTCCCGCCGAAAATCTGCATCTCCACTACATTGCATACAGTACTTTCACAGAGGCTTCTAAATTCTTCGTTTGGTCAGTACCTAGGTGGATGACCGCTTGGGAAAGCTTGGATGTGTGGGTGATGTAATTGATAACGGCTCGGAATTTGAAATCGGAGAGCCGAGTTCGAATTCCAGTCAGGTTCGTTATATTCACTTACGGGCAAGTACCCTTGGGAAAGGTATGAATCCACCTCTTCTACCACAGCTATGGGTTAACTAGTAAGACTTGTATCACTAAACCGTTATTATCTCAAACAAAAAATTCTTACAATCTAAAAATATTTTCTGGCTTTAAATAACCTGCAAAGGGTTGATAATTCGTAAAAAAAACGAATCCTTAAATCAATCATTTCTAAAAATATTCATAGAATATTTCTCACTAATATTCTAGTCGTGTTTTTAGTTGGTGTATTTATGATTAGGGCATTTATTCTTCACTAAATCATTATTATCTCCCCAAAATCTTATCTAAAAAATATTTTCTTTCTTTAAATAACCTGCAAAGGACTGATAAGCCGTAGAAAATTAAGAATCAATCCATCCCAGACCTCACTCTTTAGACTTGAGAGAGTCCATAGTGTTTCTGATCCCTTGTGAATTATTAATGATAAGCCGTAGAAAATTAATGAATCAATCCATCCCAGACCTCACTCTTTAGCCTTGAGAGAGTCCATAGTGTTTCTGAGCCCTTGTGAATTATTCTCCACCATCCAACCTCTCTCCCACAGGCGGGGAGGGGCAAGCCTCTCGTTGCTCTATCGCTACTTCCACAGAAAGTGCTCGGACCAGCTACATTCCCTGGTCCCGCCGATTCAAACCTTCACGGCAAGGACACGATATTCCACTTAAATAGTAACAAACCACCCACATTCCCTCCGTATTCCATCGGTGAGAAGTAAGTTCCACTCGAACACACAACTCTGTGGAACCAACCCCCAAGAGGATGTTTCCCCGATCACTATAATCTTAAAATGTTTAAGGATTGTGTTAACTGTTATCTTCTACTCCTTTTCGCACAAATTGCCTCTTAACGTAACCCTTTACCCCGAGGGAAAAAATCAGCCTAATGTGCCACATAAGGAAACTTCATCCGAATTCTGAGGAAATAGAACGAGAACAGTGCGGTTTCGTTAAAGACATTGGGACAAAGAACGCGATGATTATGCTTGGTTTGGTTTGGTTTGCTTTACGGCATATCAATCTCAATGGGTCATTTAATCCCGACAACTTTTTTCTTTTTTTTTTCCTGGTAATATTTTTGTTTTGTCAAAATCTATTTCTGTTAATATTTTTTTCCTCAAAAACGTATAGCTGGTAATATTATTTTTTCAAAAAAGTATTTCTGGCAATAGTTTTTTTTTTCAAAAACGTATTGCTGGCAATATTTTTTTTTTTCAAAAACGTATTGCTGGCAATAGTTTTTTTTTTCAAAAACGTATTGCTGGCAATAGTTTTTTTTTTCAAAAACGTATTGCGTATTTTTTCAAAAACGCTGTATTGCTGGCAATTTTTTTTTTCAAAACGTTTTTTTTTTTTTTTCAAAACGTATTGCTGGCAATAGTTTTTTTTTCAAAAACGTATTGCTGGCAATTTTTTTTTTTGCTGGCAATAGTTTTTTTTTTTTTACGTATTGCTGGCAATAGTTTTTTTTTTTCAAAACGTATTTTTTTTTTTTCAAAAACGTATTGCTGGCAATAGTTTTTTTTTCAAAAACGTATTGCTGGCAATAGTTTTTTTTTTTTTTCAAAAACGTATTGCCGGCAATAGTTTTTTTTTCAAAAACGTATTGCTGGCAATATTTTATAATGCTTTTTACCTCAGTTTCGAAGTTAACCATTTACCCATAGCAGGGACCCTAACAGGTGCTACCACCCCGGGTCAGGGTGGACCTGGGAACACTTGCAATTAAGAGGTGATTACACGCTCCTCAAAACCAGATTGCTGTTAGACTTAGTTTATCGTCATACCCAGGACGCGGATGAAGTTTATCGTCATACCCAGGACGGTCTGCTCAGAATGATATCAGAAAGAGTAATACAAGTGTCGAAAGACGTATAACTGTTTTATGGATTATGGTAAAATACGTTAGAAAGAATGGTTGGATGTGTCAGGTAACTAGGGCATATTTGGGAAGGACACTAGAATAATCCAGAACATATATTGACAACAAAACCGCCTGAATTCAGTAAATATACAAAAAAAAAAAAAAAAAAAGCATAAAATAGCATGAGATAAAGATATGTCTTCTCATCGGGACTTAATACAGAGAGGTGTTGCTGAGAGAATTTGAACTCCTATCAGGATTCATTATTGGCGACCACAATCTTAACATATGTAGATTAAACAGTGTTGACAGCAGACCCAAAAAGGAAACTATAGGAATTCCTACAGAAGGTAGTGACAGAAAACAAGAAGAAAGAATTAAACATCAATTGTAAGAAGACAAAATGTATATTTATTAGCAAAAAGAATATCCCGAGTTCCGAACTTAGAATTGGAGACAAGCAAATAAGTACAAGCAAGTACAAAAAATTCAATATCTAGGCAGTATTTTAACAGAGGATGACGGAAAATGCGACACAGGTATCCGAAGATGCATTGGGATAGCTTTTGGAAAGCAAATTTCGCTAAGTATTAAGAACCATGAAAATTTCATTAGAAACAACGAAAAATGGTGTGAACTGTTATGTAATATCGGTCCTCCTATACAGCAGTGAATGTTGTACAATCTCCTCACAGATGATACAACAGAAATATGCTTCTACAGAAATATACTGAGAACTCAATGGACTGAACATGTAAGTAACGAGGAAGTTTTAGAGAAAATGGAAAGAAAAATGACACTTTTATTTAGAATCAGGAAAAAGGCAATTGTGAATTTCTAGGATACATAATGTGGATAGAGGGCTTGGAGAATTTGACGTACGCATATTGAAGGCAAGAGGGTCAGGAGAAAGCAGCGAATAACCTACTTAAAGGGCTTGTGTAAATTGTTGGCAAGAACAGGCTTTAGGAGATGTAATATAGTAACAACTCTAGGTAGAAGCTTATGCAGCTTTATTTGACTAATTTAGCTTTAGCGCTGAAAACATTTTTTATTATAATGGATGGCTACAAACGAGAGGGGAGATGGGATGTGCTGATTTTATTACCACAGGAGAGATAGCCAAAGAAAAAAAAAAAAAAACAACAAACAAACCTTATTAAGAGCTCCAAAGAACAGGAAGATGTGAACAGCCATGACCATCCACGTCCTGGATATGGAACATATTGTACACGGAGTAAGTATTTCACAGTAAAAATTACATATAAAGTATTATATATTTTATATTTGAATCACCCCAATCATCCCGACTATTCGATAAAGCGTAGTTACATTTTTAAGGAATCCTTGTAGCAAACAATTTTCTTTTTACATATTTATTTATTATTATATACTTCATAAATCTACAAAAAGAAACAAAAAAACATTCAAATCTCCAGTGTTAACTTTTCTTAGCTATTATTGACAATCCAAAAATCAATATAATTTTTTTACAAAAGGAAAAAAACAAAGTGATTGTTTCTGATATTTTTTTTTTTATAAATAAACGATTAAAACTTTTCCTCGTGATAGTCTCGTAATTCTAAAGTAAAATTTTTTAAAAAACAAACAAAAAAAAATCTGTTATATACGAAAATGCAGCTGAAAAGTATATGTGATTTCACCTTTAGAAATGGTATGCATTTCTTTCTTTTTTTTTTTTGGTGGTGGATACCTGCCAAATTTTTGAATTCCTGAGTGAAGAGATACCCTCGATCGAGGCAACATGCTTGTTGGTAAGGGGAACATTTTAAATTTTAGTCCTCCCACGAAAACGGCCCTTCTATAACTATTTTTGTCGTAAAATACGGGAGTTTTTTAAAATCCCGCACCCAGTAGGTAAACGATAAGAAAAAAACAACAACAAAAAAAAAAAAAAAAAAAATGGGTGAGTCTTCTGCCAAATGCAAACGACTTGGTAGCAGTGCCCTTGTAAGGTTCGTTTTCTCAAATATGAGCAGTCATTGTTTCAAGCGTTGAAAAGTTACATATCGTTTGCGAATATTTTGCAAAGCTTTTAATTAGAACATTGTAATGCATTCTGAGGTGGGCAGTCACGTCAGATTCGACTTGAAACACTCAGAATTAATGAAATGTTTTCGTAATTATGAATATTTCCAAACTATTAGGTTGGTGCAAAATAATGACGTAATGTCGTTTTTTGACCTTAAAAATACGTCAAAAAACGACATTATTACGTCATTATTTTTGCACCAACCTAATATTTCTCCTTTATTTAACCTAGATTTTCTCTAAATTTCTGCCCGTTAACAAAACATCCTTTAGGTTCGAATTTTGAAAATAGCACATTCTGAACTTTCGGTAATCTTTTCCCTTATCCATCAATCTTTTTACAAGGACGACACTAACAAACAAATAACAAATGTGTGATATGTTGTTCGGGATTATGAGAGTAATTGTATTCTTTTTGTTAACCCTTTATCTGGAGAACCTAGTTCGATTGATTGATTTGTTTTTACGGCTTATTAACCTTTTTGCGGGTTATTTAAAGCCAGAAAATATTTTTAGATTGTAAGAAGGTTTTGGAGATAATAATGACTTTCTGATAAAAGTCCTAATAATTAACACATAATTGGGAGAGGAGAGGTGGATTCATACTTTTCCCAAAGCTATTAGTGAATATAATGAACTCGTCGGTAATTAGAACTTGGCTCTCCGATTTACAATGCAAAGTTGTTATCCATTACACCGCCCACACATCCAAGTTTACAGCACCTGATATCCCCAAGTGGTCATCCATCAAGGTACTGACTAGACTCGATGTTGCTTAACTTCGATGATCGTACAAGATCCAGTGTTTCAAAGTGATATGATCGTAAGCTTGAATAAGCAAGAATGATCTGGATCCTCACAAACTTTTAAAGAAGAAATGGTTAATTACTAACTGTAAAAAGACAAAATACATAGTCGTCAGCAAAAGGGACAACACAAGGTGTGAACTGCATAGTGGGGACGACAAAATTAAGCAGGTACAGAAATTATCTTCGTAGTGCAGCAATAAATGACGAAAATATAACAGAAATCCGAAGGTGCACTGGAATTGTAGATAATGTTTTCCAGAAACAAAGAAATATATTAGAGTTTTTCTTTTATGTCCCGTGATACTCACGACTTGGGTGATCATGGCTCTTCACAACTTTCTGTTTTGTTGCTCCGTATAAATTTTGACTCTTTACCATACCTGTCTCCTCCTCCTCTCTGCCATCTACTTACAACCTATAAGGTATGTTATTCGCTGTTTTCTTTACCTTCATGTCCTGAGAGTGTTAAATTCTCTAAGTCCCCATTCTTCGTTGTGTCTAGGAATTCTTAAGTGTGTTTTAATGATTATAACAATAAATATCCTTTTAGTCTTCGATTTTCCTTAAAAAAATTTCGTTGCTCGCATGTGCAGTCCATAGTATTCTCAGTAACCATCGACAAAACCATATCTATGTAGCTTCAAGCCTCTTCGTCATCTGTGAAGAGATTGTCCAGCATTCATTTTCATGGAGGAGAGTATATCTTACATAGCAGTTAAACACTCTTTAATTCTAAGAAAATCATCTTATCTGAAAATAATTTTCGCCTGAATTTCTGGGATGAAGAATTATCATTATTTACATTACTGACACTCAGTAAATGCAGATTTTAAATCATTTTATGATTCTATTTATTTTCGTATTTAGCGAGACCGTTTTTTTTTAATGAGCTGACTGATTCGTTTGTTTTTACAGCTTATCAACCCTTTGTACGTTATTTAAAGCCGAAATATATTTTGGATTGTAAGAATAATTCTTTTTGTTTATGCGAGTGAATATTGCATGGACATTTTTTTGAGGATAACAAAGATTTTTTTCTGATACAAATCCTGCAATTTAACCCATAGCTGGGAAGGATGTGGATTCATGCCTTTCCCAAGAGTGTTTGCGCGTAACTGAAGATAACGATCCAAAATGGAATTCGGATCTCCGATTTCATATTCAGAGCCGTTATGCATTATATCACGCGCACATCCTTGGAAGAAATTAGGGCAATTTCGTTGTTTTTAAGCAAACGATCGTCGACTGCTGTTACAGGAACTATTTTTGTTAGAAGAAAAATGGTGAAACGTCATATTCCTGCCTTTGGCCGTGCCTCATTTCACAACTGAAAATAGCGCGTAAAAGAACAAATAACTGGTCGACCACAAATTATTCCACAAATGTAATATTTCTCCTTCGTTTTTTTTTTTTAACGAAACAAACCAAGAACATCTGGGCATAATTTGCTCGGAAATATAAAATGCGTGTTTTAATTTTTATTGGATTAATAAACATTTACTATTGGCACGGCTTGATGAATTCAAATCAAAATGGCCTCTGAACCGATGCTGTGAAATGTAACTTAAACGAAGAACTTGGTGTAGATTTCATTCTTAAATCCTTACATAAAGACTACAGCAAAAAGTCTGCGTCTCATTTATTGTGTTTACAATTCATGTAATAAACTGGCTTTGCGTCGACGAATTTGAAGAGTTTTTCACAACTGCTAGAGGCCCTCCTACATTAGTTGCAGGGGACAAGCGAATATACCTAAGAAGTTTTAGGATAAAGAACAGCGCGCCTTTTTTCTTCAGATGTCGAAACACATTTTTATATCGGGATGAAGTATGGTAGGGTAGGAATGTGGCTGTTGTAACTCACTCCTAGTGGTTATAATATTAGGTCTCGACTGACTCGAACGGACTGGTAATTACCGGTCGCTCCATTGCGACACAAGGTCAAGTTTACTCTGCGGAACCCAAGCGTTTCCACCCGGGCCATAGGTTAAAATTTACCCAGCCCCCACCACAGCGGGCTCGAGTACAGAACTGGTCTGTTTTTCTCAGCTCAGTCTCTATCCGAAGACAGAGCCCGACTGAGTCATCCTCCGCCCGAAGACAAGGTCTTGTCACCCTCTGCCCGAAGATTTGAGGTTTTGTCTTGACGCGAGTCTGAGACAGACTGCGCCGGACTTCCCCTGACTCACTTTGAGTTCTTCATTTAAGGCATCTTAAGACGGTTGGTATTCTATCCAGAAATCGAATCGTAATTTATTAAGATGACACCCAGCGTTGTAATCTATTCCCTGCATGCGTAGGAATTCCTTTTTTCGAATCATAAGTTGATAATAGAGGATGGTGATCTGTCTGTAAACGAAAACTCCTTCCGTGTATAAATTTGAATTTTTTCACTGCAATTATTATTGCTAACGCCTCTTTTTCAATCTGGCTGTAAATTTTTTCCTGTCGATAGTAGCGATGTGCGACGACTTTCATTTTACAGTCATCATATTTATGTAAAACTACTACTCTTATACAATAGTCACTAGCATCTGAAGCCAATACGATTTCTGCTTTTGGATTAGTATTTACGCAGTCCTCCCACTGAGAGGAGATCCGACACAATGTCGAGTTTACCGTGGGGAACCCAAGCGCGTGCACTCGGGCCAATGGTAAAAAAATTACCCAGCTTCAGTAACTACGGGATCGAGCACTTTGCATTGTCTATTTTTCTCAGCCGAGTCTTCGTCCGTGGACAGAGCCTCGGCTGAGTCGCACTCTGCCCGAAGACAGAAAGCTTGACTTGTTTTAATGTTGCCATTGTGTTCTTTGGGAGGAAAGCCTCACCTTTCAACCGCCATATCTTATGTACATCATTATGTCCAAAAAGCACAATTTTTGTTTTATCCCTCGATGGTACTTGTTCCCCAAAACAAATTTCATTGTCCAAGAACGTTTTGGCAAAATTAAACCGAGCAGCAATGTGCCATGTTTTGTGAAGAGGGATTCGTCGTAGTTGGTTTTCATACAACCATTTTTTATTTAAACGACGTTGCATTGTGCGAGTACTTACGCTGATAACCATCGTATCCAAACTTTTGGTGATGTTTTTCAAAACAACTTTTGGATTTATATTAACCCCGCTACAGTTTTCGTGCAGTTCTCGGTGAAAATTTGGGTTTTCTTCCACGCCCAGGCAAATTATTTGTCATACCAAACTGTTTAAACTTCTTTATAACGGAATGTACTGTACATCTAGGAATAGCTAAACGGTTTGAAATAGGCCTGTAACTATTTCCCGACTTGTGGAAGTTAATAATTCTGTCTCAAGTCAACGCTAATTCTTCCCCATCGTGTCGTTAATATAAGAATAACAATGATGACACTCTATGTACCACGTGATGTTCTTTGCTGGAATTATCACAAATATTTTACTGAATAGTCTAGAAGGCTTCACCGATAAAATAATAATTATGTAAATTACTTATACTTAAACGAATCAATCAATTCAAAACGATATTTTCTACTGTATGAATAATTTTTCTTTTTTGCTATTTTGCATAATTCGCCTGTCAAATTTGTTGTATTTAACCTATTGTTCTAAAAATGAGTTTTATATCCTTTTTTTGTGCTTATAACATATAAAAAAACTAACATTATATTGGCATTAGATTAGGAGAAATGGACAAAAATATTCAAAATAGATGGGTGTACGAATAATTTCGTCGTTGACTGTATATTTTTCCTACCGAAACCTTTTTTTTTTTTATATGAATGGCCTTTTAATACGTCTGCTATTGTGACTAATAAAAGTTTGTACCCCTGCGAAAATATATAGCTGGGGCGCTATCGTTGGTCACGGTACCAATTATAAAACCGCTGACCAAAGTCATAGACTAATCTATGATGTTACAATTTTATAACACTCCAATTCGCGGTCACTAGGTTCTTATCACTTATGGCTGTTGCTTCTGGTTAAATAGGGTTGCCGCTTCTTCGTTTCAGCTGATAGTCGATTCGGCAATCTTTTATCGGTCTTCCCCAGCACAAGTTATGTTTTTAAAATCCTGGAAAAAGATGTATCCGACAAAGTCTGCTGAAACAAGAAGGAATCAACCGTACTAGTAGGATTATTGCAGTATTATAAATAATTTCTGCCAAGAAATAAGTCAACACTCTATAAACAATAACAAGTTGGTATAATTTGATGTCAGCAATATTCGCTACTGCTAGTGCTGCGAGTGTAAATATTAACTATAACAATATGGGATCACTGTTTCAGATAAGTCCTCTGTACTTCTGTATGACAAAGTAATTATAGCTGATGATCGCGACTTTTTAACGACTGTTCTTTGAAGACTCTTCCTGACAACTCTTCCGAACACTGTGTGCGACTCGCTTCAAAAACTCTCCCCAACTCTCTCGTGTGACTGCTGCGAGCTTGAATAAATTAGAGCTTCTGTCACTAATGTGGAGTAAATAAAACACAAAATACGCAAGGCGCCTTAAATAAAGAACCAGAGGAAGCCCGTTGCAATCTGTCCCAGACTCGCGACGAGACAAGACCTCTGTCTTCGGGCGGACGATGACTCAGTCGGAGTCTGTCTTCAGATAGAGACCCGGCGGAGAAAAACGGACCAGTTCTGTACCTGAGCCCGCTTTTGTGAGGGCTGGGAAAATTTTGACCAGTGGACTGGGTGGAAACGTTTGCGTTCCCCACAATAAACTTGACCTTGTGTCGCATCTAGTCCACAGTGAGGCGACCGGTAAATACCAGTCCGTCTCAATAAGGCAGTCTGCTATCTTGTTAGCAAATGTCAAGCTCTCTGTCTTCGGGCAGAGTGCGACTCAATCGAGGCTCTGTCCACGGACGGAGACTCGGCCGAGAAAAATAAACAATGCAAAGTGCTCGATCACGTAGTTGCTAGGGCTGGGTAAATTTTGACCATTGGCCCGACTAAACAGGCTCGGGTTCCCCACGGTAAACTCGACCTTGTGTCGGATCTCGTCTCAGTGGGAGGACTGGGTAAATACCAG